GAGAAGGAAACTGGTTAACACAGCATGTTATATTAAATCTAGAGAGTTGCAAGAGATTATGCACATTGGAAGGAACATATTTAAGTATTCGTGTACTCTGATGAACAATTCTTGGGGAAAAAAGGCATAATTGTGAATAACTCAGAGAGAATATCCAAGGTGTATATGGTGGTGTTGGAGTGAAATTGTAGCCATGATGGTTCATGAAATATGCAAAAGGCAAGGATTTTTTTGGAGCAATATATTTTATTGGACCAACTGTGAAGTTGGAGGAGATCTTAGACAATATTTTGGGCAACAGTTATCTTTCCTCAAGTTGTTTATGATCTGCATGGTATCCAAAGTGTGCAAAGCCAGTATCTGATTCTTCCTGAAATACCTGACTTGAAGTTGCGCTATTTTAAAGTTAGAAAATCAATAATATTTTAAAATGTAGGTTTTAAAGGAGAGAGGCTCATAGGTAAGTGTCTGTGTTGGTCCTCTCCAAATCCTCTATTTAGTTTGCCTATTCAAATTCATTTGAATCCATATTATTGGCATTTTGCTTCTCTATCTGTCTAGATTTGCTTCCCTGCATAACCAGGAACAGGCTAATATAATACTGTGCCTCAGTGTATCATGGGACATTTTCTGTAGAGCTTCAGAAAGGACATTTTGGCAAACAAAACAGATTGATCTAGTCTTCTTTCTTCTACTAGTTTATGGTCATCATGATATTTCTTAGATTTCCTTTGTCTAAATTTGGCTGATCAGAAAGATCCTAAGACAAATATATAGAAAATTATTGGTAGTATTCAATACTTTTTAACCTCTCTTCTTAGAAGTTCAAGATTTTGATCACACAGGGTTATAACATTATTAGAGATGACCAATAGTTTTATATTGGTCCGAATAGGTGCTATGTGTGCTATTTGTTCTGTGGGAGTTCTGTATATTTGTGGTATAGTTTCATAGTTTCATAGTTGGTAGGGTCAGAAGGGACTTGAGGAGATCTAGTCCAACCCCCTGCCGTGGCAGGAAAGAGTACTGGGGTCAAACAACCCCAGCCAGATGTTCGTCCA